AGACTTCTAAACGTGACAATATCTGTCGATCTTTCAATTCGTAGGGCATCCACTTTTGGAACTTTGTAACCTGTCCAATACGTTTTGAACTATCAAAAACCGAATGGGAGTTGACGCCCAATTCTTTTGACATCTCAGGCACCGTTTGTGATGAGAGGGTCCTAAAATATTTGTTCTGGATAACTGTAGGTTGACCACTTCGGGGCTCACCTCCGAGACTAAAATCTCTGGAGCAGAATTTCGCAAACCAAATTCGAACAGTGCGTTCATTAACACTATCATTGCCAGTATCAATGTAAAGAGTACAAAATTCTCTATCGATCAGCATATACCACGACACAGTAGAATAGATACTTATTGAGACATGGAGCTACAAAAACACATGACATTAAAGCGGACTACCTAATAAATCAACAAAGACTTCATATGGATACAAATTGATTTTCGATGAAATGGTCAAAATTGGCCATAATTTTTTGCAATATGTGGATTGGATTGGATTGATCTACCTCTTTTTCGGGTCTCCAAAAGGGAAATAAGTTTATATTTAGAGGACTTTTAATAAATTGATGAATGTAGCCGTTCCTACGTGGTGGAAAATCATCACAAAAAATGAGAAATAAAACTTGCTATGTTTTAATACCACTTCTATTTGTAACTAACGATACTGCAGTTTCGTCCTATAAGAATAATTTCAAAATAATACAAGGAACCAGTTCACTGTTCTCTTTTTATGATGAATGAAACCTGAATCAGAGGAATAATTTCAATGACGCAAAAAAAAGTCCTTCTACTTATTTTGGGGTTACCAATGAATAAATAAATACATTATTGAAAACTTGTGATGCACTGTTTGGAATCTTTGATATAATAATGAATATTACCGCAATATAACAGCGGTAATATACAATATAACAGCAAACCGTTATTTTACCATCTCGACACGTGTTTCGAACACCAAGTGATCATCTTCAAGAGGAAGCCTAAATCAAATATACACACAATGTAATCCTTATTTATACTATAGATACCTGGCCTAGGTACCTGAGTCTTAATTGTCTTAAATTATTTTACAATGTTGTCTTATATACAGCGCCTGTTCCAACTATTTCGCCGCTCCGGGCAAAATAATATTTGCCGCCTTTTAATCATGCGGTATTCCATAGATGGTGTAATTGTAACCTATAAAAAGACACATTTTATTTTTGTAATCTACTAAAATATGATGTGAAATTTCAGTGATGTCAATAGTAATATATTATATTCTAACAATTTTTGTGTAAGGGGTGGTATTTTTTTTGTTTAACCATCTTTCAAATTTTTGCCGCCGACGCCGCGCCTTTCTCAATAATTTTGCCGCCCCTCATTTTTGCCGCCTCGGGCAATTGCCCGGTTTGCCCCCCCCCCCCTAGATCGGACGCTACTTATATACCAGTCCGAAATTGATTTTACAATGTTGCCTCATATATTACATCATGTATTACACAAGGCCACAATGTACATATTGTAAAATATTTATTACATCATGTATTACATGAGGCCACATTGTAAAATTAATGTAAGACAATTAAGACACAGAGTTATCTATAGTATAAATAAGGATAACATTGTTTATTTGATTAGTTTAATTTTCCTCGTGAATATTATCACTTGGTGATCGAAACATGTGTCGAGCTGTTAAAATAACGGTTTGGTGTTGGAATAAAACTCCAGTGATATCACATTAGTGAATAAATAAATAATATTTTTTGCCAATAAGGAACATCCGATGCATCTGATGCTATTTCCGAAATATGGCCTTTTTAGTGCTTTTTAACTCTTATATAACATTATTTTTTAGATATGTATATCGCCTATAATATATCGAGCGAATATGTACTTCTGAGCCACTCGGTATAGATTCCAATTGGATCAAAGCGGTTCCCGGTGGAACCACCTGTATGTAACATTACAGGCATTAACATTGTAACAATTGTATACACCATAGGTATCCGAGCTCAGAGTGGCGAGAGAGATAGCGTAACATCGAACCAGTGGAAAGATAATTGCACAGTCGCTTGCGCATGGAGACCCGTCACCACAGCATGCGCCGTCACACCAGCAATTGGTTTTACGTGCGGTTATAGATATTTCACATCAAAATAGTTTTAGTTTTCTAGTGAATTGGGGTATCCTCATCATATACCGAGTAAAGTTAATCTACACTTGGGGCTACGAAAAATGTCTCATGGGTCATCAATTTGTGCAAATGAGTGGCCAAAGGGACATAGCTAGTGGTCCGAACAATTTAATGACGATTTGCTCTTAATTTTTGAAATTAACTAGGTGGGTAGTGAGTAAGTCTGAAGTAGGTGTGTCTATTCGACTTTCATTTCAACCTGTGAGAGTTTATTATGGTTCCCATCTACTCAAACTCTACCAAATAATATCCATGATGGTGAGTAAACAATTTTCACAAATATTTATCATTTCTAGAAGTGTTTAGCTAACACCGTACCTTCCTTGGCTTCTACCGAGGAAGCTGCAGTATAACGGGTCAAGTAACGGGTCACTCCATTCATAAATCCAACTTATGAACTGAACCGTTTAAATCAGTTAGTGACTAATCTCTCAGGTTGATTTTTAATGGTAGGACTTTGCAAAATGCTTAAAACCTGATTCGGTTCGCAACGAGGTATCTGTATATAGCATGAAATGATTCACTCTGCTACTAGGGCCTAAATTTCCTTGTGATCAATAATACATTTCAAGGTTGACAGACCACGATACATTTCCTTCAATCTAGTGAAAGCTAAATCGGTCGTCAGTCTGCGACTAACTTCGTTAGGTAAGTAAGTGAAGCAAATGTATGGGTTGGGGAGTATGTCTCCCGTGACGCATTTTAGGGAGACGCCCTATCATGACTGCAGGATTCTAACTACACCCGACATTTAGCATTCTTCCCTACTGGTTTTTTCATGTGACCTCTAGCCATCCAAGTCGAAATGTGCAGTTCTGGAATTGTACCTGTGGACCATCATCTGGAAAATCCTATATGGCAGCCATAACTGCATATAGAAGAAATTACAATTGATTGGTTGATATTGAGGTTGTCGGATTTTCGAATTACAAGATTTCCGCTTCAATGATCGCAGCAACCTTCATTTGGGGACATCTGTAAGTCCCCATAGAGAATTTTTTCCTCTGGTTTGGGTGAACCATCGTTTCAGCGTGAGTGTTTTTTAATTTGTTCAGGGAAAGTTCGTTCTCTTTCCTGATTCAGATTCTGCTTCCATTGCTTCAGAATTTGGTGCAAGGCAAAATGGCAATAAGTCAGTTCCTAGCTTCATCATCTAGCCTCCTATGCTGTTGGACAATCAAGAACTGTATTCAATAGAAAACAGCTCATAAATGTTCATGTTGCCCCATATACTGTCACATCTCCTATAATATTGCTGTGTGGGGTTGCTCCTCCAAGCTTCATAAAATTTTTATGTCTCAGAAAGGGTTATGCGACTGATATTCAAATCAAATTACCAAGAGTCTTGAAAAAACATTTTATTGGAAAAATAATTATGTATGTATCATGTATATACATTTACAAGCAGAGTGAATAATTTCATTCTATATACAGATACCCCGCTGCCAATCGATTCTGGTTTTACGCATTTGGCAAAGTCCCACCATTAAAAATCAACCTGAGAGACTACCCACCAAGTGAAGTAATCAGTTAAGTTCATGAGTTAGATTCATTTAATCCATTTATGAATGGACTGACCCGTTACTTAACCCGTTAACACTGTAGTTTCCACGGTAGAAGCCAAGGAAGTTATGGTGTTAGCTAAATGCTTCTAGACATGGAAAATGTTTGTGAAAATTGTTACCATGTTACCATCATGGATATTATGTGGTACAGTGTGAGTAGATGTGAACCACAATAAACTCACACAGGCTGAAGTGAAAGTTGAATAGACCCACCCTCTTCAGACTTACCACCCACTTAATCATTATCAAAAATTGAAAGTAAACTGTCATCAAATTGTTCGGACCATTTGCACAAACTGATGACGTATGAGACATTTTTCGTAGCCCCAAATGTAGATTAACTTTACTCAGTATATGATGAGGTCAAGTCTATTCGAGAAAGGTCTGTACTATAACTGTATAAAAATATATATAGTAATATATTGTAATTTACACAATTTTCATAGCATATAATATTTTTAATATGAAACAGCACTTTCTTTTTCTTCAACTTTGAACGCTCCAATAACGCTATGTAATAGTCGCTGTTATGCCAAGCGAATCTGAAAATACTGATACGCATAACCTTGCCACCCGACTGTTGCATCTTTGTACGTGCAGTCCACTCAGATGACGATCGTTTTGTTTCTGGTGTGAAATGGTGGAGTCATGTTTCATGCATTATTACATATCGACGAAAAAACTCAGGTTTTCTATGATGGAACAGCTTGAAACACTGCTCCACACGCATCCAAATATTTATGCACGATATGTCCAACACGTTTCTTTAATATCTTTATCTCGATCAACTTCACTTTGCTGCTTCACTTTGCATAGACATGTTTTCCTTCGTAACAGTTTCTTTAGGGCTCGGTTAATCTCGTGAAACCACTTCTCAACGGTTGATTTTTCTGGTGCAAAGTCCGAATAATGTTCATCAAGCCAGTTGACTTCAACAGTATTTTTTTTGCCAAAAAACAATGCTTTATAAACACACAATTCTGTTTAATCCATGTTCTTCAAACTAACAAAACATGCCTCACTCAAAATGTTCTATTCCACAAACTGATACTCCTATAGCTATGAAATTTGTATACGTGTCTTTTGAAGGTTAGGGTTAACTGAAAATCATATGAATTTAATACTGCTAGCGCCAACTGTGTGTTAGCCTACGAACTTCTTAGCCCATCTATGAGTAGTTACTAGAGTAAAAAACAAAACATAATTCTTATTTCACACATTTGACCATTCACTAACTGCTTCTTTTTTGTTTGCAGATTATGAAGTACTTGGTGGCTTCCTCAGCAGTTGTGATTTTGTTTTTAATATACATTAGGACCTACCTAAGATCAGTGTATCTAGCTCTAAAATTACCTGGTCCAAAAGCGTTACCTATAATTGGAAACGTTTTGTTTCTGAATGATGATAGAGGTGAGTAGTGATTGGAAAATATCTATGTTATCAGTTAGGAAATGTTCAATTTTGTATAACTAACTCGATTTTCCCGTTACAGGCGCGGTGAAACCCTTCAAAATAGTATAGCAAAGCATAGTTTTTCAAAATGAAATTTCCTAAAGTTTTTAGTTTTGGAAAAGTGCCGTAAAAACACCCTTGTTAGGAGCAAAACTGAATTCATTTATTTGAAGAGATAGATCCATGGTTACTCAGAGAGAGGTGCCTGGCGAAAGTAGAGTTTCACATTAGATTTGAATCGCTGGAGATTAGATTCACTCGGAAAAAACGTTCTCAAGAAGATTATTCCACATGAACGCAATTCTCCACATGGAAGAGTTCTTAAACAGTGAAGTTAGAGGTGTACTGAGTTAAACCTCAAAACGATGAGCAGCCACAGTCCGTCCCGTTTTTCTGAAATGTACCGTTTCTGGTGGAACTAAATGTGCCAAGTCACTTAAACACTTCCTGTGAAAGTATCTATAGAAGAGAGACAAATCGCCAACCATTCTTCGACGTTCCAGGCTATCAAGGTTGCATGTCATGTTCGCGTCTCCAATCAGGCGGATGGCTCTTTTCTGGAGCGAATCCAGCAACTTCACGGTATGTTTTGGGGAAGAGCTCTATACATGAGAACAATACTCCAAAGAAGGTCTGATCTGGGTTTTATAAAGCATCAACAGTTGCCGAGGTGTGCACAGTTTTCTGGTTCGGAACAGTGTTCCAAGCTTTTGAGAAGCAGCCTTTGAAATTCCAGCGACACGATTGTGCCATGACATATTGGTGTCCATTTCAACCCCCATCAAAGCAGAAAGCGGAACTATCTGACCTAACATTACTATATGGTTCGAATACATTCATTTTCTTGGAGAAAAGCGATGCCTGGTTTTTTGTGGCATTGAATTGAATCTGGTTACTTTCACTCCAATTCGAAATCACAGATCCTCATTAAGATATGCAACCTTCTGCTGCCAGTGAAGATGTGCCTCCGTAGCCGATGTCCTGGAATCCAAATGGAATGACGGGATAAGTGTGCTGTCGTCAGCAAAGTAATATATTGGATTATTGTTTTTTCCAATAAGTTGTTGATACACAAAAAAAGAGTATTTGAGACAATATGGATTCCTGGGGAAAATCATGGTTGATGGTGAAAGTATTCGAGAAATATCCATTGATGGCCACTTGCAGGAAACGTTCTTTCAGGAAGCTGAAGAGCCATATACAAAAATGATACGACAAGCCATAGCATCAATGCTTGGCCAGCAAACTCTCATGCCACACGCGGTCAAAGACCGGAAATATATCAAGCTCTCTTGATTCTTCATGTTTCTCGATTGTGTTATTCCAAATATGGGTGAAATACGATAGAAGGTCGACTGTTGATCCGAAAGCCACATTGATGATCGCTCAAGATATTGAAGCCTTTCAAATATTTCAGGATATGGTGGTTTACGACTCTCTTCATGATTTTTGATATCACTGATAGCAAAACGAATGGTATATAGTTATTTGGAAGATTTTTTCTGCCGTTTTTGGAAATTGACTGAACGCGAGCAATCTTCCAACAAGAAGGAAACCCCCCTTTCATTCATTTGTGCACTTTTTGAGTAAGATGGCCAACACTTCATCAGGGACAGACGCCCTTTTGATATAGAGCTGTTTCAAAATTCGCCTGACTAGACGCTGTCGAAAAGTAATTTCCGGCATTGCGGATTCTTGTTTGGGAATAGTGGGTGGTGCCTCTACCAGAAAATTGACTGTGGAGTGGGACGCAAATTGTTCAGCCAGTAAGTTTGTTTTTTCTATAGCTGTTGTTGCGATTGAACCATCTGCTTGTGTTAGTGGTTGAATTGGGGATTCTGTAAAGTTCTGATTAACAGCTTTGGCTACCGACCACAAGATCTAGACCCGTTGCGATTGGCAAGCAGTTTATCCCTAATTCTCTGAAGATGAAGTTTTTTGCTTTTATTTATCATAAGTTTGCAGCTGTTGCAAGAATTCACAAACCTAGTTCGGTTTTCGGCACTGGGATTTTTGCGCCACTGATGGTAGGCGAGATTTATGAACGCGACAGCTTGCTCGCAATTTTTGTTGAACCAAGGTTTGCCGTTAGAAGGTCGTTTCATTAATTTTTGTATGAAATTTAATCAAAAATATATTTCATCTCGTATTCAGCTAGGCAAAGGGCGAACTCTCTTCGGATTAAAATGATACTGTTTGTTAGTCTGACGTCTTCTGTAGTAAAAGTGGCAGGAAACGTATCAACTGGTCAAAAACACAGATATGTATTCATAGCTTGGAAACGTCGCGGTTCTAACCGTTGCACACACGGCAGTTAATCCATTTAGGCCGACAAAAGGGATTTTCATAATACAAGCTGAAAGAGCAGTTCTCAATGTTAAAATGTTTTCTCATTAACCGGGTTATATTTTGTTTTGGTTTTTATTCTCAGTTTCTAAGAACGCAACGCTTCAGCAGATCAGATCAGATTATGGTTACGATGAAAATATAAATATGTATGTGCTCATTATATATGTTTTTCGACTCTAAACAAGAATTATTCATATGTTCGGTAATTTCACGAAATCATTGACTTTGTACAATACTACTTGTATGCATTTTTTCAATAAAATATAACTTTTCGATGCTTTAACAAAAAAGTTCCTCAGAGTACCGCTACCAATTCACATGGTTTGAATATTTTGTCTAATTCTCTGAAATAGCTTTTTATGATATGAGTGTTGAAACAAAAGGTTTTATTTTGTGATTGAAAAAGTTTGCGAAACGAGCGTAGCGAGTTGAGCAATTTCACGAACAAAATAAAACTTACTTTTATCACAAATATCATACAAAGTTTTTTGTACAACTGTCATGTTTTCATAATAAAATAGATACATTAAATATTTATGTAAAAACACATTTTGACATCTCTTGTCAGTTAACAATTTTCGTGTTATCGAATTTGCTGTGAAGTGGCCGTGTTAAGTGACGCCAAATCACCTGGCTACCAGCAAACAGTATTATTTACAGCTCACGCGTTTTATTTAAAGTCACTTTTGAAGTTCTTGCTGGTGTTTAATGTATAAAATACATTTGTAACAGAATTCGATTGTATCTATATTCATTGTTTATGAACAAATGAAGTTTTATTATGATAAAACTTCCTTGAAAATTCAATAATTATGTTTTGTTTTTTGCTATTTGGTCGAAAAAAATCATGTTAAAAATACTTTCAACACTAGTGTTAAACATATTTTTAACATGCTCAATACTCTTGATACAACTGACAAATGGGTAGAAACCGATTTCACATCAATTTCTGTCACCCAAAAAGAACTATATTTGTTTTCGACATATGATTTTTATTTAAAATTATCGCATTTTGAGTACATACAATTTTAAAACTATTTGAAAACTAAAATATGCTGAAATATGTTGAAAATATGTTGAAAATATGTTTTTCCGTTAACCAGCTATCGCACCCCTACGAACGACAACCCTCAGAAGTCGAAACTTGTGCGAGCTAAGGACTAACGAGGTCTTACTTTTCAACGTGTGATTCCTAACACGGGTTGGACGATAGCAAGTGAAAATCGATCGTTCAACCTGCGGCGTGAACCATCGACAGACACATCGTCCGATTGACTGAGTGAACAAAGCACCCACGTCGACCCGCCTGGCTACCGCTTTTGAGATGAATTCTTATTATAAAATTCAAATGTATAACTCTGATTCGGAATATCCTTCACAAATAAATCTCATTTTGAAATAGTCCTATTATGAGTCATAGAAAAAATATAGTATTTTTCTCGCAAAAATAGCATTACTCACTCGACCTATACGACGTTTGCTTTCGGCTCGAGTCGATAAACTTCATTGTCACGAGTAATGATCACATTTCTCACTCGTTGAATAATATATATCCTATGCTCATCTGTGTTTGGGCTTCGAAGGTAGTGTCCCTGGTTAACTTAACTGCGATTGGTTTGAAGGTGTGAGTTATGTATTATTGCGTAAGGCCACACAATTGGCGCTTTTTTCAATTACCATAGAAAAACATTGATTTTGTACCATTTCAGATGATTGAATGTAAATATTATATTTGTTTTATTTCAGAGATGGAGCATCTGGGTAATAAAGCCCACGAATTATATGGATCTTTCATGAGATTTTGGGTCTCATTTCTGCCCTGCATCGTGGTTCATGAGCCGAGACACTTGAATATTATTTTAGGAACCAACAGGTATTCCAGAAAAAATATATTCTACACCCTTTTACACAACTTTCTTGGACAGGGATTGATAACGAACAATGGTATGTGTGACATGTTCAATTCATTTGGATTTCTTCTATTATATTTTTTGAATACCACCGAAATGAGAAACAGTCATAGTTTTCATGGCATATACCAATCACATCGAGTTTTCACCTTATATATTTTCAAATGAAAATTAGTAGCTAAAAAGATACAGCGTTACTCAAGTACGGTGCACCATTAAATTTCTTGGAAGAATGAAATGACTATCACTGCTGGTTGCTATGTTAGAAAGCGATTTATGATGAATATTTTAAAGAGCACAGCGTCGCTATTTGTACCGATTTGTCACGTCAACTCAGTTTTTACAAACGAAACACCTTATATATTTCAACATTATGAATACTCTCTTGAATTAAAAAAATATTTATTTCGATCAATTGTTAAAATTGACACAAAATTTTCAGAATTCCCTTGAATGAAGTGTTGATAACTTACACGAGGAGAAGGTTAATTTGATGTCTCCCAGTGTTCCTGTACCAGAAATGATTGTTTAGGTACTAATGGTCAGATTAATCACATCTAGAGAAATTATTCACAGTAGAGTTTCATCAAGTATTGTTATGTTATATCCCCCTTTTACTAGATCCAACCTTGGAAACGTGTCTCCTATACATTTTATGTGTGAAAGTTATAATACTGCAGTCAATGCGATATTAATTTCGATCCACTGTAGACCATATTATCCAAAATTGTATAAACTATCATCTAGCTTAGTGTCTTCATTTCATGTTATTTACAAATAATAATTAATTGCTGTGTCATCTTTTTTCCTTAATGCCATCATATATGTGAATTTATTTTCTAATTTGTCAAATCCTCAATATGTCAATCTTTTGTTATATATTGAATTTAAATAGCCTTTATTTATACTGCATTATTATATTATTTCCTTAATGCCATCATATATGTGAATTTATTTTCTAATTTGTCAAATCCTCAATATGTCAATCTTTTGTTATAGGTTTATTGAATTTTAATAGCCTTTATTTATACTGCATTATTATATTATGAATTGTCGTGTAAATGGATTTATCTGTTGGGCAATAAATTTTGTTTCTCTCATCTGTAGAGAAAATAGCTGCTCTCAATTCAACAATTATTAAAACTCGCAGCACGAGGACATGGTAATGGATATCATTCAGTTTATGAAGAGATTTCACAAGTTGGGAGTTAATATAATTTTTGAATTTCACGGACATGAATCCCATTTGTAGATGATGTACTTGCTATTTTTAACACAAAGAAAAATGAAACAGAGTACTAAAACTTATTAAAAAAAATTCTCATTGGAAATCTGAATTGGGAACTGAAGGTTTTGGCTTTCTACTTCTCCATCTTTATTTAAAAAATGTGGGAAACTTTCCAGATGAACTCTTTACAAAAATGTGTAGATTATGGATAGAAGTTACTTTCTCGAAACAACTAGTTTCTTCCAATATGTGGTGAAATCGACCGATACTTGATGAAAAGCCATAACGTATTCAAGAAACACTGGAGTATAGACATGCCTGAGGAAGTTATTGTGTAGCAAAACACGTGTTGCGTTGTGTGAAAGTGGTTGATAATGGTACCGCAAGGAAGAGAAGCCGTTTCATTGCTCCTTTCTATCTCAGAGGATTGTCAGAGATGATAATGAGAATTGTGTCCAAGTACAGCATTAAAACTTGCTTCAGATCCGGAAGCACCATTCGAACTGCAATTCCAATAATTGCATTTACCAGATACCCTGTTGATGCAGCAAATACTGAATAGGTGAAATTAAGAGGCCATCAAAAGTCCGCATAGCCGAATACAGCGGGAAGAAACCAGGAAAATTAGCAGAGCATGTTTGGACTCATCAACATAACATCAAGTGGTCCCAAGCTGAGATCATCCACAGGGAGAAACACATCCAGCCAAGCTAGCGATACGCAACATATGAAAACCTGTAATCAAGCGAAAAAATGATCAATACCTGCTAAACTGATGAAGCGGAGGGAGAGAAGAAGGAATAGCCTCGAATGACTTATAAAAATCATCTCTCAAAGGAATAGTCCAGTTATCACTCGAAGACGATCATCGTGGATACTAACAAATGAAACGTTGTGAAATAATTTGGATTTAAATCTTTTCCAACTTTTAAAATTCTTCAATTTCTTTTTTAGTTTTTGCTTGTTTTTATTTTTTTACTCTGTGGTCAGTTTCATTTCGTATCTTGATAATTTTATTGGTTTTATTGTATTTTCATTTCACGTTTTGTTGCTTGTATATGATTGATATTTTAGCTATTCATTTTAATTTTATTTGCTCTTTCATAGGTTTCGAATGATATTAGACAATGTGTGTCCGAACTAGTAGAATTCACGTGTTGTGTTTTTATAAAACTTTTCAGTGAAAATCTCACAATGTGTGTTTCTTGCATACTTTCTTCCAGTTTGTGTCTAAAAGTATCTTTCATGATTGATTGTGAAGAGTTTATTTTGAAATTAATTGCTTTCTCCCTTCCTTCGGAATTTTTCCAAATTTTTTGTATGAAGATGGAGAAGATGGGTATGGTACAAACATTCTGATATTGTTATAAAAAATACATCATAAATTCTCAACATTTTCAAAAAATACAAATAAAATATAAATGACCTGACTTAGTACTTGATACAAATCAATAACACTATCCATGATAATGATTAAAGTAAGTAGTAGTCACTTTTGGGAAAGAAAGTTTTTGGTTTTCTACTACTTCCTTCCTTTCTTTGGGAGATTCCCATATTTTTTTTTGTATCAAGATGGAGTAGTAGAAAGTCAAAAACTTTCTTTCCCAAAAATTAGTCACTACTTAAAATATAACCCTTTCAATATAATTAGTCACCTATTGGCATGTCTAAATATAAAAAAAAAACTTTCTGAACATGAAATCAAGTATGAAAAACTCATTATAAAAGTATAAAAAACTCAGCTTCCATTTTTCACTGAATTATTTGTAGCAGAATAAAAATTTCAGGTTATGCATGGAAGAAAAATCGTAAAATGATCCAATCTTTATTCCACACGAACATACAGGAGATTTTTATTGAGACTTTCCAGGATTGTGCTGAGGCGTTTGTTAGCAAATTAAATGGATTAACGGATGTGAAAATTACTGCCCTCGTTAATGATTGCGTTTTGGACATTCTCCACAGTTAGTTTATAAAAATATTTTCGCGTTCATTTTCTGAAAGTATTTCATTTTCAGATGCCATTTTGGGGGTACCACTGGATAAGAACTCTCCTTATAGAAAGTGCGAGTGAATATGAAACAAAATGTTCCTGAAAATTGAATTGATTTTTTTTAGGGGACAAGTAATTCTGAATGACAGATTGACTAAACCCTGGTTACTTTTGGAAACTATTTTCAGTAGAACGACATCAGCACAGAAGGAAATAGAACAAAAAACAAATTTACACTCATATACAAAAAAAGTAAGTACAAGTTTGAAATCAAGGGTTTTTCTGGAATGTTAAAAAAATAAGGTGACTTTTCTAATTTCGCGGGCTACTTGCAATTGACTGGCAATTTTACTATTTTTTTTAATGTTGGTACATTCGTCTCGAACATATGTTGTAGTTTCAGCTGTTAATCATGTTTAGTTTGTTGGTGAGAGTCATAAAAATTAGAAGTGTTTTGCGTATTCGGCAATTTTCTGTTATCGAGGAATTCGCATCGAATTTTGTGTAAAAAAAATGAGAGCTCAGAAACACTTGAAATGTTGACAGTAGCATACGGTGATTATACTCCAATCCAGAAAAATGTATACAACGTTTTCATAGAAAATCGAGAAGATGTGAAAGACGACATTCTTGCCCTGGACGTGCCAGTATAACAACAAAGTGAAGAACATTGTTATGCAGAATTGTCAAATCACTTTTAGAGAATTTGCTGAGGATGTCGGCATATCGATTGGCTCATGCCATTCATTTTTTCCGAAAATTTTGGGCATGAAGCGTCGCCAAAAATCCGTCGCATGATTATCGCTCAGGAATTGTTGAATGTCGTTAAAGTCGATCCAGATTGGCTAAAAAGGGTCGTGACTGATGACGAATCACTGGTATATGGTTATATGTTGTCGTCCCAGTGGAAGAGCCCGGGAGAGCCAATACTAAAAAAGCACGGCAGGTTCGATCAAATGCCAAAGTTTTTTATTGTTTTTTTCGATTACCGTAGCGTAGTGCATCATCAGTTCTTGGAATACGGTCGAACAGTCAATAAGAAGCACTATTTAGAAGTTAAACGCTATTTGCGAGAAGCAATACAAAGAAAACCTTCGGTATTGTGGAACTTTTTTTATGGCATTTGCATCAAGATAATGCACCGGCTCACTTGTCATTGCTTGTTCGTAAATTTTGCCCAGAAAACAAAACCTCAGCCACCGTATTTACCAGATTTGGCCCCCGGTGACTTTTTCCTGTTTCCAAGATTGGACCACGAAACGACTGCGTTTTGTGACGATTGAGGAGATAAAAATCGAATCACTGAGAGAGCTCAAGTACTTATCAAAATCAATGAATAAATAACGGTTTCTGTGAAAAAATAAAAATTCACACTATTTTTTGAATAGACAGTATATAAAGTCAAGTTAAAGAAAATGATACATCAAACTCTGTGCGATCCTAATATATTTAATAATGCAAAAAATCACAATAATTTATATAATAATATCATATGATCAAATGTAGATCACTATCAATTGTGGCTCTCGAAAAAAATCTGTTCAAATTGATAGTGCTGTATAAATTCTCAAACAATGTTTCTTCATGTGAGCCGGAATCATTTCTAGTCTGTATGAAAAGTTCTTTATATTAACAGTGAATTTTAAATTTATGTAACTTGGTTTCTGACATAATTTGTTTTGAAATATCACTCCCGAATCACCATCTGTTCTGAGATTATCGTAGTCCGGTCAATTTAGACATTCGAAGCTACGTAAATTTCCACCAAGCAGAAAATCAGTGAGATCGTTTAAAATAAAATTTTAAAGTTTCCCTGTATGGAAAAAATTTCATACAAGGTCAAAGGTCAAAAAAATGAGTTCTTCGCGATTTTCAGCAAAACGGTAAGTTTTGTCATAAAAATACTTCAGACAAAAATTGTAGATTATACAATTATCTACAAAAAATGCAGCAATCAACGATTGAAAAAGTTGTAACGTGGTTTCTCCAGTAGGCCTATTCCACGGGTCAGTTGTGATCCTGTTTAATTTGAAACTATTGCAAAATAATGAATATTAGTAGAGATTGAAAAGATAAAAGCAATTCGAGTTTGAGAAAGTAGTGAAATTTAATCGTCCGAGTCGTAACTTTTAAATTCTTCTTCTGGTTCTCCTTCTTGATCTACTTGTTTTTATTCGTCTTGTTCTTCTTGTTCTTCTTGTTCTTCTTCATCTTCATCCTGAATACATGTAAACTGAGTTAATAGCGATGTATCGCATGTCGCCTCGTTGGAATCAAACGGATCCTCCACTGTTGGTGATTCAATATTAGAGCACGACCGGCCTTGACAATGTGTACATGCCAGAGAACAAAACAGTCCGGCTTTTCTGCAACTACATTTAGCACTGCAATTGCAAAAAATTGTGTTCAGCAGTTTTTCCGGCGCAGGTGGAAGTAAAGTTTGGACTGGTTCTAATGAATTGTTGACCAACTTCCAACCCCAGTTTGTAGGGTTTAGCTGATAACCAAGCCACACTTGAACTTGGTAATATATCCGAAAAAGATGCTGATGAGCAGCAATTGAGGTTGGAGTAACACAAGGTAATTGTACTTGTTTTTTACTTTTGGTATTTTTAACGAAACATGCATATCTATACTACTGAGCAGGTAGTTTTTTTTTAGGAGCTCCATACATAGAAAGAGGAAAGAGAATGCCGTTGGTGATAAAGTTATGTTGAGTTGAATTACTATTTTCAAAAACTTCAACACATTGAACTAAATTTTGTTTTTCAAACATTTCGAAAACTGTTATTTTACCCCTTCAGTAAAATACATATATTTTGTATCACAGCCAGTTATTGCATGTAGAAAGAGTACATGATTTTGACACTTTACAAAAGTAGATAAACTTTTTGATGAATATATTTCCGATTGATGTTGAGTTTTTCATGGTTTTAAGAAGAAAATAGTTTTTTCAGTTAGAGTTCGAGCGGTGAGTAATACGAGTAAGTCTACAACTTCACCAACATCAATAGTTGTATTTATCAAATTTGCTCTATTACTGTTTCAATTATCAATACATCAGCATCATTGTTAGCTTGTTTCAACAATATATTTTCAGCAGTATTTGTAAGAAATTTTTGTTGACTGGTTGGAACTGTCATATTTTCATCACATGAAATATCAATTGATGTAGATGTTGTGTAAGTTACAATGACCGATGGAAAAATGTTTTAACATATATTACAACCACAGAGATGTAAATATACGTGGCCTACTCATGCTTATTATGACTATTACAACTTTTACAACTTTTTGAATCGTTATATCTCAAAAAATATATTGATACATTTTTTGTATATAATTTTGTGATCTGCAATTTTTGTCTGAAGTATTTTTATGATGGAATTTACCGTTTTGCTCAAAATCGCGAAAAAATTATTTTTTTACCTTTACCATACAGGGAAACATGGGTAACTTACAAATTTTATTTTTAATTTGATATTTGGTGTGAAAAGAACCGTTTGATCATAAATTATTTCAAAACCATTGCGGTTCAATTCCAGGGTAAATTTTTGTTTTGAGGACACCCGGAAATTTTGTAAAAATGTTTAAATGTGCTTACGTGTTTTGATGCGTAGATTACGAACCCGAAAGAAAATAGCGGCGCTCTCCCTTATTTACAAAGTTACGGCCCTTCAAAGTTCAGAAAAGGGCAACTTTTCAGCCTTCTTTTTCACAAGATTAACTATTTAAAAATACAAGCATTTATTCACTAGGTCACCTTTTCAACTTATTTCTCCTGCTTTGACACTTTCCACTTCATTTATCCAATAAAAATGTTACAAAATGTAAGGAGCTGCTTTTTGGTTACATATCTCTGTAGTTTACGTTTTTAAGGTTAATGGCATTGTTGGTTCGACTGATGCAGTCAATATTCCTAAAGTGATTCAAATGTTTTTTACCTTCATTCTTTAGATCGTGAATTGGTTTTTGGCGGTGTATTACGAGTTTAAAATAGTAGGCGGCGGCAAATACCAACCGCTTTTTTCTGAAATATCACTAGTAACTAACCTAAAAATAGAAGAATGTTACCAAGAGAAGCATAATGATATTAATTCAACACAAATACTTATTCAGTTAACTAGTTTAGTGATCCAATATTTTTTTGAAACAGGGGTTTGTTGGGTAACAGGATCAATTTTTTCTTGAAGAGATCAATTATTTTCTTGTTGACGTTTCGAATTTAATTAAATTTTTTTTCAGGGCTCTGTAACAATGAATTTTCACAAACATACATTCCACAAAACTTACGAATATTATCGTTTCAATTATTCAATTGAATTACTCACAGAAAAGTAGTTTTTTCGTGTTGACAATATTAATATTTCAAAAACCATCAGACATATTAGAAACATATGTAAGAAAATAAGAAACATTGCAACAACCAAATTTCCGAAACACCAAAACAAAATGACATGAAACAAACGAATGGCTTCATATGTGAGTCTGATAAGATGGTGTCTGTTTTTTATCAATGACAGAAAGAAAAAGAATGTCATTGATTAAAAAACAGACACCACCTTATCAGAATCACAGACAAAGCCATTCGTTTGTTTTGGTGTTGTCTCGGAATTTGGTTTTTGGCTTTCTATTTTTTTTTAATATGTGTCGAATATGTCTTATGGTTTTTGGAATAGTAATATTATCAACACGAAGAAACTACTTTTCGGTGAGTAATTTAAAAGGTCTGAGGCGGTTACCACTAGCGATTCGTTACTGACTACTGGTGATTCTATTTTGAGTATTCTACATTGTTTTAAATTTATCAGAAAATGGTGAAACTGAACTTCTACATTATTGCTCAACTTTCGAGATCGTGATTCTGAATAATTAATAATATCGAGTTGTTTATTTTGACAATTCAGGACATTTGACACAACATTCGCGACACGCTCAGTAATAAATAGTTTAGCCACGGGTTTCTTCTTACATCAAGAGAGGTTTCAAACTTGACGATCCAATACAAAAAAGAATCGTTTTGGTTGCGCAAAGCAAAAAAGAAGAGACTTCGAAACGTGACTATTTCTGCCTATCGTTCAAATCGTCGGGCACCCACTTTTCGAGCTTTTTGACCTTTCCAATACGTTTCAAATCTTCGAAAACCGCATGGGAGCTGGTTTGGCAGCACCTAAGACATCATATAACAATAAGCCGAAAACAGGAAAAAACATGAAATTTGGAAAAATGAACAGCATGAATATACTACTATT